TGCAGACCTCTACTTCCAATTCATTTCCGATGCGGTACAATAGTACAAGTGTGACTATTTTTTCTTGAATACATAATTTTGACCATGAAATTTTTTTTGGTTCACACAGAAAGTGCCAAAACCTTTACCAAGTTTCTCATAATTCTGATGAAGTAAAAATGTTAGTTTATTATGCTTAAATAGCAAAGGAAAATGTCAACCAATGGCGTAAGAAAAACAAACTAAATTTATTTTATGCCATTGGCAGACATTTTTCTTGTTTTAAGCGTAAAGTCACTCAATTTTGTTACACTTTTCATAAAAAGTCTTTTCATTTTATGTAATTTTTTAATGCAATTTTGCTCATTGGTTCATTCAATTCAGCTTTAAGGAGCTCTACAGAAAACAACAGTGTCATTATTCAGCTCAATTTAGTTCCAGTTTTGTTTTCATCCAATAGTATATAATTAATAATATTATTAAATGTCTTGGTTCATTGTTATTTGGTTGCTAGGGTGTTCAGGGTCTTTATTAGGGTGTCCTAGGTTGGTGCTCTGTGGTTCTTTCAGGTCTAAATGAAAAGAGTCCTGGATCCTTAATATTCTGGTCTTCAGATATGGCTTGGGTCCTTCCTTCGATGCAATTCTGCGGGATTTTTACATCAGTTTTATCATCTGCCCGATCAAAATTGTAAGTCCGAACACTTAGACAAATAATAGCACATGTCTCAGCATGATTGGAGAGTTACGAGCTTAAAACTCCTAAACCCGAGAGTGAAGTAAATGGCCCCTAACAAAACAACAAGTGAGATATTTTGACTTTTTCACCCCTATAGACCTGGGCATGAAGGTCCTACTTAATCTCACAGCTTGAAACAATGGCATTGTGAGAGCGAAATGACAGCTGCTCTGTTTATAGAGTGGAGATATGGGCTTTATCAGCATATCCCACCTCAAGAATACTAGGGATCTGATAACAGCTCCCCTTAAATACACCTCAGAAAGCTCTTAAGAGAGCCAGGAATGTCTCCAGGCTTTCGGAGAGGCGTTGAAGGACGTGTCCCGTTGCTGGGATGATGACAGCAGGGGAACACTGAGGCTGTTAATCCTCAGATAGAGCAAATAGTCTGTATACATGTTTCAGCCTCAGCATTCACTCAGTGAATTCAGCGTCTCGTTTCCTCATGAAGGATAAGCATAGACGACCATGCAGTCTGATTTATAGGGCTGATGGAATGATTATTTTGCAAATGGACAACATTTTCTGACACCAAAAGGGTTTTTTATGCATGCTTTGCCGTTCATCGAGAGCTTTCACTATGCAAAAAATTATTTTGTCTCATTTTCTATAACAAACATCTAAACATTCTTAAATCAACATAGATTTTCATGAGAAGCAAAATGGCAGGAGTCTTGTTTTTATGCTTAAAAAACAAGAACAAATTATGTAACACTTTACTTAAAGCATTTATGCTTAATGCATTATAAAGGTATTCATAATGTACATTGTAATGCATTATGTCTTTTCATAAATAATTGTAACCCAAGTTAAAATGCATTATAATATTTGAAGGTTTGTTTGTCATGTGTTTTAATGCATTATACTTTCTAAATGAATAGATAAGTATTATATTATCACTGTGGTTACAATTATTCATGAGATTATACAATGCATTACAAGGCATATTTAATGCATTAAAATACTTTTATAATGCATTGAATATAAAGGCTTCACGTAAAGTGTTATCAAAATGTCTGCTGATGGCATAAGAAAAATACGCTTTTTTTTTCTCTTTAAAGGGGTCATATGATGCTGCTAAAAAGAACATTATTTTGAGTATTTGGTGTAATGAAATGTGTTTATGCGGTTTAAAGTTAAAAAAACACATTATTTTCCACATACTGTACATTATTGTTTCTCCTCTATGCCCCGCCTTTTTGAAACGCGTCGATTTTTACAAAGCTCATCGGTCTGAAAAGCGAGGTGTGCTGTGATTGGCCAGCTATCCAGTGCGTTATGATGCCCCGGCTTAGCGTGAGCTGAAGCCGGGCAAGAGTGAGCTGAGGCAGTCGGGTCGAGAACGGCGGTCCCGGCGAAGGAGCGGTGAAAACGGTGAAAGCCGATCTGGCGATCCACAGCACTAAGTTGATGTATTCCCTCAGCAACCAGCACGGATCAGCTCTAGGCATGATGAAGCAGATATCGTCCTCTTTTGGAAGACCAAACAAAGTAGTTTCGCTTTCACAACGAAACACACAGCATCTTCAGGACATGGCGGCAGCGGCAACAACAATACTACAGCGAGAATCAAAGTTACGCCTTCTTTCTTTGCGTGAACATTTGGGCGGCGTTATGCAAATCTTCCCACATAGTGAGGTAGATATGTGGGGGCGTGTTAGAACGAGCCGTTTTAGGTAGGTGTGGCTGACTCTGAACTTTTATAAAGAATATCTCTTTGGATTTGAGACTTTAGTCTTTACAACTTTACAGATCTTCTTTATGCACCAAGAGCTTGTAACACTCCAAAGAGAAAGGAAAAAATGAAATCACATCATATGACCCCTTTAAATTAAGTTACATTTTTCTTATCCCACTGACTGATATTTTTTCTTGCTTTAAGCATAAACTCATTTCATTTTGATCTTTTTTTTTTCAGAAAATAAGACTTATCTTATGCAATTTTGCTTCTCAAGTAAATGCATCTTGATTTAAGAAAGCTTAGATATTTGCACTGGAAAACAAGATAAAAATACTGAGAAAGAAATCATTTTTGCAGTGCAAATATCAAACCTTGAGTCTTAGAACTCAAATGCTTTATAGTTATTAATATGAGTACATTCACAAAGTGTCACATGCACACTAAGATACTTAATATTCAGTAATATTATGAATTCGATAACATTTACACTGTTGGATGAGAATTAAGCTGAATAATAACACTATTGCCTTCTGCAGAGGTGCTTGACAGCTGAGCTTTTCTGAGCAATATGACATCATACTGCTCAGGCCCCGCCCATGACCGCTGACGGACTGTCCTGAATTAGCATATCTCCGCCCTCAGCCGTTTTCTCCGCCCTCGAGCAGCTGTAGCGACAGCAATGTCTCGTAAGCAATGCAGATGTTTTGTAGTTTGATGTAAAAGTGAACACAAGAGTCTTCATTTTCTCCCGACATCAGAGCCACTTAGGAGGCAGTGGATTAGTTTTGTTTTTGATGGTAAAGCGCACACCGAATACACCTAAATTCATTTATGTCTGCGCAAATCATTTTACTCCACACTGCTTTCTGAACGAGGGACAATTCAAGGCAGGTTTTGCTAAAAAGTTCAAACTCAAGGATGGATCAGAACCCACTGTTCATGATCCAGCTGCACCTCCAGAAGAAGTAAGTCTCACACTTGATATTTCTTATGATTATTTTCAAATCGCCTTTCCTCTTCATAGAGTGTATAAAAACATGGACGTAGTGTCCATAGGTTTCTGAAGAGTGTTTTTGAAGCTCAAAGTGGGCGGAGCCGGCCGTCGTCATCTTGGCAGCGTGTCACTCCCGGATAATCGAAAATTGGCAAAGAGGCGGGAGCTGGTTGCTGAAGCCACGCCCACCTAGCTCGACGGTGGTGACAGCAGCGGCAATCCACCTGTCACTCAAGTGGCCACGCCCTTAATTATGCAGAACTTAATATAATTTAAACGGATGAGTTATAAAAAAATTCACCCCCCTCACAGTTGTCATGA